TCATGTTTGTGGCTGCTACAGTCCTGTTTGTTGTTCCTTCCTCCATGCGCATTTCAATATCTTTGTATTCACTAACAGGCACAGTCTTAAGTCCGTCAGCATAGAACCCTTTTGAAGGATGTTGGCGCACCCGCAAGCCACCCTTATTGGTGGAAGGGTTCAAAAGGTCACGCACCTTCTCATTGTAGATTTCAAGCATACTGAAAAACACCTGCAATTGAACATCAATTGTGAGCAATATTTTACTCCTGAAGAGTTTGTTGATCTCTTAAATCTTTTGTATACATCATGTCAGAAGTCTCTGAAATCAGTTATGGTATGGCATCCATCCAGGCATGCTCTTGCATTATATTACAGGTTTTTATTGACAAATAAATCCTGCTGTTGGCATTTCCAAGGACAACACTTATGTGTCCTGCAGAAAAGTCAGCTCAGCAGCGTCATACAAATAAGTACATAAATACATAAGTGGCAGCCTGATTGATGTCAAAGTGGCATTTGGTGGTCTCAGCACTACAACAGGTGCAGCAAAACTGGTTTCTTAAAATGGTGGTTGCTTAATTTCCTTTAAAATTCAGATAAACCACAAATTTGTGTAATATCTTTAGCCAAAATTCTAAGAAATTAAACAGTACCTCAAATTGTGCCTCATCTCCTCCTTGCTTTTTCTCATCAATTCCTTTGAAAATTTCTTCACAAAAGATTGGTACAATGCCTGTAATCAAATGTAGAATAATTGTTTTGGAATTAATTACTTCCCATACAGGGGCAATATTCTCCTTACTAAAGAGATGTGACTACTAGACTTGACAAGCAACCATTGTTCAGGATTCTACCTTTAAAGGACCTGTAAATAAGACAAATTGAATGTAATGAACTGGGAAAACAGTAGAAATCAAAACTAGGTGAATAAAAGTGAGATGCTGCAAATGTTAAGTCAATAACACCAAAAAAATAATAATAATAAAAAAACAAAGCAAAAGAAAGAGAGAATGGACTGATGTTACCTTTGTTTGTACCATATCCAACAATTGACCAAGATTTCCCTGAACCAGTCTGTCCATAGGCAAAGAGTGACGTGTTGAATCCTTCCCAAGCATTTGTCAAAACTCCTTTACCAAGATCATTATACACTTTCATCTATAAAATCAATAGACAATCTCTTAGTCAAATGTGGCACAAAAGGTCTGAATCTTATTTGAAGCCTTTTTTTTCCCCTAACTTTGTCAATCTCCCCTCCTCTATAACAATTTTTTTTTACAAATTCTGTGGCTGTCTGTGATTGTGTGATTGTGTTTAGAGTTTTGTGTGAGGAAAAAAAGGATCAGACTTTGAGTGATGCTTTTTCTACAAAGAGTAGCTGAAATGAAGATCCACATCAATAGCACACCAAGACATCAAATACTGAATTAAAGGGAAAAATCCTTTTAAAAAAGGGGTGTGGTCACAAGACCCCCTGCCATAAGTCTGTCCTTGCACTGCAAGGAAATGTCATAGTGAAAGAAGCCGTGTGACAGGCATATGCATGGGGTCAGGGGAGCTGACACTCCCATAACTTGAGGAATGATTCTGATTTCCACAGGTCATGATTTCCCAGCCTATATACTGGTGAGAAAGGAGCAGCCGGCCTCCATCCTTGATAGAATCACCCCATCAGTCTTCTCATAAGATCACACTTCTGACAAAATAATTGTTTTCTGTAGTACCTGATCAGCATATTTTGGATTGGTAGCTCCCAGGTAGCCGTTTGGTTTTTCTTCGAATCCGTCATGAGACCAATAACTGTAGTCGAACGTGAATTTTTTGGGTTCTTCACCAGGCTCTTCTGGATTTGTTAAGTACGTTGTTTGACCTTTCATTTCAACTATCAAAGTTGCATTTCGGGCCTTTTCACGTTTATTGTGTGAAGTGTTAAGGAAATCGCTAGCTCCAGCTTGAGGAAAGCTGTTAGATTGCTCATTTGTTGCTTATCACTGGCAGACTGTAGAGAAAAGTGCAGAGTTTAACGGAGTTACAATGGTCTCCTTCGAGTGGATTACGAACCCTGAGCGGCCAGCCTAGTAACTTTAAAATAAATCTCCGATCCTTTATTTAAACTTTAACTGGGTTGCGATATAAACACTACAATCAAGAGGAATGGAAGTGTAGTGCCTCTGATATTTCCTCTTCTCTCGTTCAGTTGCAAATCTATTGTAGTTCATTATGACCTTGGTTCAGATTTCTCAACAGCGTCACACAATCCAAGATACTTGGTAAAACGTTGTACCTTGCTTTACCAGCTGTTTTTTAACGCTGGTCGTATTGTGCTTCAAACTTCACTTCACTGTGACTTTTGTTAATAAGAAGTAGTCTAAATGAAAATCGTTTAGAAAGTTTTGGTGAACAGCAAACCGTCAGAGACGGTAGATCAATATTATTCATGCCCTACTGTTGCGTACACAAAAAAAAAACAAGTGTGACGATTGTGCAAACATCTAGACATGAAAGTTAGAACGTAATGAAATAAGATGATAATACCGTTCTTAGTGGGCGAGGAAAAATTGATGTGGACTGCCATATAAAAAATTATACGGCCAATATAATAATCTAATATGGGATGTCAAACTATTCGAAAGGATAAACTAACAGCTACGTTGACACGTCCTACAACCAGATACACACAAACTTTGTCGCACTGGCTGCATTAGGACTAGCTGGATTATATCGTCGTTAAAAGGATATAAAAGGCCTCACTCTAACGGCCACCTTGACGTTTTCTGCTTCTCCGTCCGACATTTCTGCTATAACAACCAAGCGTCACGTCTCTATGTCAAATGAAGAATCAAAACTACTGATGTCTTTCCACGAAGCAAATCGATCAGATGTAACTTGTCGAGTAGATAGTTAAAAAAGTCTGGAAATTTTCCTCGAAGTAAACAAGGTACGAAGTTGATTTTGGGTAATTTTGTGCGTCATAAATGGATAGCAATCAATGTTCTTGATGAATAGTGCTCTGTTGCCATGTTGATCGGCCAAATGTAAACTTTACTGTAATAATTTATGAAAAAATATGCAAATAAGGTTTCCTTTCAATAAAATAAGCTCTACGGATTTGTTATGACAAAATCAAAATAGCAACCAATTTTCCTGTGGTTTTAAATATAAAGGAATAATTCTTTTGCGTAGAATGTGTAGAACAAAACGTTACGGGGCCACCAATGTCGAATCAGTCATGGTACAACAATATATTAAGTTCACGGATTTTCACAGTACACAATTCATTTATTTTTATTTATTTAATTTCCCTAGTGATGGCAAAAAACAATCGTTAAAAATGTCTCATAGCAATACTATTCCTCCCTTCAAAACTACTAAAAGGGCATTTCAATGGTAACACATTGTTTCAAAAAACAAATGGCTTGCAGAAAGAGAAGGCTTTACTGATAATCAAGACAAAGTTCAGTGCTTACTATAATATGCAGAAAGTTGATGTCAAAATCAATGACAAAAGCAGGGTACCATTGGCTCCTGGGTTTTTTTTAAACACAAACCTGAAAGTAGTACTCATAACAATGCAGTTTTTAGATTTTACAAACACAAAGAATGTTAAAAATTATGGAAATAAATTTTTTGTCTGAACAGAATTTCCAAATTTATAAATAACAATATTTATCAAAAAAACACGCAAATGAGGTTGTGTATTTGGTTTAAATAAGCAATTTGTCTTTTAAAACAATATATTTGAAAATGATTGTGGCCTAAATTTCTCAGAAAATTGTTTTCCTGGTGAGTTTCAGCCCTACATCAGAGCACAAAACGAAGCTTAAAAGATGCTTGAAACACCAGCTTTAGAAACTGTTCACAGTGGCTCATTCACATTATCAACTCAGTTGATGAAACTGAACAATCTTGTGATACTCCCCACTGATGCAGCAACATAGTTTACCTAGAAACTTAAACCTTTTATCACAGTGTGCAGCATGTTCAAAGAACATGAAGAGAAAATTTAAAACCAATTTTACATTGGTTAAATTTTCAAAGAAGAATTTCAGTTTCTAAATTCTTCATATTACACTGCATGAACACCTAATGTAATAAAGCTCATATGGCACATAGAACTAGCATATCACTGTGTTGTTGTGCTTTTCACAAACAAGTAAACTCTGGCATTGATAGCCTTACTTCTGATCATGTCTTACACTGTTGGTTAACCTGCTAAAACGAAAGAACTAAAAAGAAAAGAAAAATAGCAAATTGGCCTGCACCTGTCAACACCATTTCAGGAAACCAAACTTTGCACACACTTAAAAATCATTCTAACTTGATGATCTTACAAAGTCCACTACTTGGTCTACAGGAGTCTAATAAATAAAAACGATTTGATGAGAGTAAGTTAAAACCTTCTGGGTTCTACCAAATATTACCTGTAAACTCTAGTTGTTCTTTTACAGTGGTTAAATTTGTAAAGAATGTCATCCATAGCAACACACAGTGAAGATAAATCAATCCATGCTCTGTCAAGATTCTCCTTTCTGATATTGGGATGATCTAAGCAGAAGCCAGTTGAGTAAATTTGTATAACCTGTTTGTTAATATATACTAATGAATTTTCACTACATGCTAATCAGATGAACAATTAAGAAAAGTTGTGAACATTTATTCAATCAACCAATGCTGCAAAGGGTGGTGATTTTTTGTAGGGTGGTAGTGATGTAAAGTAACAAAAATAAACAAAAAGGAAAGTATATTCAAAAGACCTACACATATACATGCATATCTATTACCTTTTGGCACCACAGAATGTTCATGGCTTGTCCTCAACTAGAATAACACTTGTTTTGTACAGTCTAGTACATTCCAACATGCGCCTAATATTCTTGTGACCTATTTCACACTTGAGGGATTGATGTGTTCAAATCTGTTCTAAATTGTTCTTCACAATATCATTTTGTGACAAACTCATTAGCATATAGTGAACAAGGTATACTGATTCACTCTAGCAGCTTATGAAATTTAACTGCATGACTTCATAAATGATCACTTATTTAATTGATCAAATTTCAATCATCTAAAAACCTTTTATAAGAGTTATTTAATCCTTCAACTACAAGAAGTGATTAACATTTTTACTTTTCCTTACTATATCATTACAGTGTCAAGTAGATAGGTAGCGAGATCTCTTAAACTTAACAGTTTCAGGATATTTGCTTGAATTAGATGTAACACCAAATTCTCATTACTAATTAACAAGGAAATGTACAACAACTTGATGGGAGAATTGCAAATCACACATTCGAAGGGTTAAAAATAATATACCTGCGGCAAAATGTGAACGCAAAAGAAAGTACCAAACCAGAACTTGCAGAGTTTATGTTATACATGTTGAGTAAGCACATCAGAAGGGGAAACACATTAAACATTCTTATCACAGCCCAGAAGAGAAGAGTTACATAGAACTCCTTCATTCCAAGGTACTCCAGCTTACATCTACCCCTAAGCATTGATCGAAAGTTTAAGACAAATAAGTTTTGTTGATGTGACTATCTAAGTCTTTGCTGGAATGGCTCCTAACTGTGCTTGGACTTGAGCTTGAACTTTTGCACTGAGCATATCCTGAACAGCTGCCAAGAAAGAAACAATCTTCTTGTAAATAACTATATAAGTGTGAAAAATTGGGTTTTAGATATTACGATCTACATGTAGATGTCATATATCAACAGTAAAATATGGTAACACAACTTGTGGATGGTTAAGAAGGGTAAAAACACAGATCAATGAAATAAATCACATTTAAAAGGTTAAGGAGTCTCTAAATACAGATATTTGAAACAAACCATAATGTACAATATCAAAATGTTGAAGATACAATAATCATTCCTACAATGAGGAAAATAAGAAGAAAGCATCATAGAGGACTACCTTGTCTTAATTTATGTTTTTCTATTAATTTAGGTTGCAGTAGTTCCAGCTGTTTAGTCACCAGATCCACTTTTCTTCCAAAATATTCCTCAGCTTCCTTTAACCCCTAAATGTAACATAATAAAATAAAACAGAGAAATAAATAAAAGCTAAGAAAACTTTAAACTTTGAATTTCTATTCTTTTGGGAAAAAGAAAACAATTTTAGCTCAAAGAATATTGCACTAAAATCTGTCAAGACTGTGTTTGAAAAAAATGCAAGAGGAAGTTTGTAAGCAGCATTAAAATGAACAAGTCAAAAAAGAATGGAGACTTTCCAGTGGTTTATAGCATCTCAAGGGAAAAACAACTTTCTTGTACATACCTTTTCTACAAAATAACCAGTTCCAATGTTTACTAAAACTGATGTTGTGTTTTCAAGAGTCCCAGGAACATACATCTGAAGTGACTTAAGGATTTATTGACTTTACAAGTCTGCAACTTTAAGTCCAAGTTTATAGATTACATTGGATTCCTTACTTAGTGCTGGTTTCAAATGGTTTTAATCTATAAAGGCAGATGGATTTATAAGGCCTTGCATTTGAACAGGACCACACTAGTCTGTTCTGGTGAAGTCACCTTACAGATTGTGATTAATTAATGGAAAGAGTCCACATGGAGTCAAATGACTGACTAGATCCATACTACCTTGTTGTTAACTGTTGTAAGTCCTTTCACTCCAAGAAGGGATTAATAACTCATGACTTCTCCTTATACATCGATCAAATTGAAGTTTAAACATTCTTCCTAAACAAACCCTGGCATTTGAACTTAAGAAGATTAATTTATTATAATTCTTGCCCTCCTGGACAAAATCTAGACAAAATCTGGAAAAACCTGCCTTCATATGTCCCACCCAAGCACAATTTTTTATTGAACAATTCTTTGATCATTGGATTAATTAAATTCATCTAGTAACAGTAGTCACCATGCTATGACACAATTTTTTTGGCTAATTTGTAACTAACATACAAAGACAGGCGAAAGATATGCAAAGGAGATCAGATTTTGGAAATAAATCAAAGCATTAGCATGAACAGCCCTATATGAGTGATCACACGTGGTATTGGAATTGGAATTAGATTTCTGAAGGGTTCAAGGTAGTGTTCACTTTGAAAACCTGAGATCGGTCAACATCTCTACCTCTTTAATGAAAATGAGAGAAGAACTGTCGTTGAAGACAAGATTTGGATAGCGAAAGAACAGTTATGCGCGGATCAAAGGATACAGAACTTGTAAGTGGTACCAGAATAGGTTTTCCTGTTGAATAAATTTGTAAAAAGTCATTCAGTACGGGCAAAAGACAAAATAAAATACGTCGTTTTAATATTGTGAAAGACTAGAGCTCACCTGACTCCTTGTTAATAAGTTTCTTGACATTTTCTTTCGAATCTCCAAACTTTTGCTGGGCGATCTTTAGCTGGCTCATGGAATCTCCCAGCAGTTTTACTTCCTAAGTGAAACGAATCATTTTCTTAAAGTGCATCCAAATGGTAAAATTCAGTTGTAAGAAACACTAAATGCTTACCTCTTCAAGCTGAGACCTGAGATTCTCCAAATGAGGTATCTGAAGTTGACTAAGTTCCACCGCCTCGCCAGCCGCCATCTTAAAATTTTTGACAGTGTTGGAACCAGGCCTCTTTACTTCTCACCTTTCAATCAAGTAAGTTATCGCATGAGGGAAGTGGGGGGAGGGGGGGGGGAGGTCAGTGATTGCCAACAAAGGAATTGTAGTTATTTGACTAATTAACTGCCAATTAACTGTCATTGAAGGGGGATCTGGTAAATTTTATTAAGAAACAACCAAAATGTTGTTATTGTTATTATCATTATCACAGACAGTGTCACAATAACAAGTGCCTTTGCAAAAAGAAATGACCCTCTTTTTATTAAAAATTTCCCATATACATGTATTGCTGTTACTAAATTTACAAACTATGATTTACAATAATTATTACCATAATTCTCTCTGCAATCCAGGCACATCTTTGTCTGAGCATCACTGATTTTCTCAAGATTTTGTCAACTTCTGATTCCCATAATATAAACAAAGAACTATATTACTATCTATGTACTATATATGTGTCATTCCTTGTTAAAGGAGACTGAAACAAAATGCTAGTCAACCCAAACTGTATGTCTTGAGTATTATAAATGGGAAACTTTATTATGCTCATCTATGAAGTCATGCCAGCTAACTTCTCACAAACATTTCAAATACATTAAAATAAATAATTCCTAAGTAATATGAACACTGCTCTATAACAAAACCCCATGTATTTGATATGAATTCAAAACTGATCTTAACAATACAATACTTGTACATCAATATGGGTGTTTACTGCATGTACAATTGCCAATTCAACTGCCAGCATTTTTTCTAGCATTACATAGAATGCTTTTCTGATAGGCCAACAAAAGAAATTTGAATTGACATTTGTACACAAAGTATATATCTGTAACCAAAGGTGCAATTATCAGAAGAGCAATAAAAAACAATTGTTCCAAAAAAGTAAATTTGCAAAAGTATTTGGCTCAAACCTATTTCAACTTGAATAAAAGCTGCAATTGGTCTTGGCTGTTGAAAATACACAGAACTACCTGAATTAACACAATCTAGCCTCTTAACCCTTTACACCCTAACATCAGTATTCATACTCTCCATACTGTTCTCTGTACATTTACTAATGTGCTGCAAAAGGAGAATTTGTCTAATAATCAAGAGTTGCTTTTTTTGGTGATCATTTCCTTTATTCTCACGACATTAATGTGTGATTAAGTGATGATATTGTTTGGAGAAATTAGAAACCAGTCACTTTTCGGGGTTAAAGGCTTAATTCATATCTCTTTCTGTTTTGATAATTGTCTGCCTTATGAACCAAAACATTCTAAGAGCTCAAAAACTCTTTGATGAGATTTAAAAGCTATCAGTCCACTGCTATTACTCCATTTCTTCGCAATACCATCATCAGGTTTGTTGTATTTTAGTTCACACTTATCAAAACTTATCTTATCAATTTCTTTTGTAGTTGATTTCAATAACAGGGCTTCCTTATAACCTACCACCCCTCCCCCCATGGAACACAAAATTGCATGCGCTGCACAGGTATCCCACTTGAAGGAAAAGGCACTGGAAAGGACATAGAAGTCAACATTGTCATCAATAACATGAAGGAGTTTGTTGCCAGCACCTGAACTTGGAAATAATCTAATTCCTGAAGACATTAGAGTCTCCTTCACATTTTCACTTTCACTTCCACTTATTGTTACCTTAAAAGTACTGCTAATTTGGGTATCTGTTGATGCTTTATTGGATTTCCTTTTATTTCCCAGGGAATAACAGGCATGTCCAGCATGATTTACTCCCCAGAGCCTCCTTCCATTCCAACGTCTTGAGGTTGTATTCTCTTGGATTAGCGTAGAAAATGGCTGATTGATCACACCAGCCACAGGTACACCAGTTTCAAGATGAAATACTCCAATTAAAACAGTAGCACAAGGTAAACCTGAAACTACAATGCCATCAACTTCCTTCCCTGGAGAATTTTTGAGGTACTCTGATGTAGAATCTGTAAAAAGAAGTTTGTGTATGATTCAAAAAGGGTGCTGGAGTATGGGACAATAGCAACCCTAATGAAACCCTTGTAAATGCCTCTTATTTGTCATATCCAAAACATTAGCTATGACAGTGGGGAAATATGAGTTACAGTACCTATCCAAACTATTCATAATGGAGTTAAGTGATATTTTGGGGGGTAACACGCCATGTTCAACAGGAAATCGTTTAAGCCTAACAGTAATTCAGGATTATCCTTGCCTGAACTAATGCACTTCAAAATCAACGTTAAGATTTCCGCACAGCCCCATACTACTACTGAAATACAAAGCCGTAGTCCCAAAGGCAATCTATTTTAAGTTTCACCCTTTTTTATCCAAGAACTGTATCCATGATGAGGTATGGGGTGTGCCTAAATCTTACCAAATTAACTTAAGAAATTCTTATTTTAAAAATACGAAAGCATCTAAAAATACACTCCACCTTAAATTTCCAAGGTAAATATTTTTAATTGCACTTGTTACAATATAATTATATTACCGATTGGATCAATCCAGATTCCTAACTCATTCAGGGGAAGCTCAAAATCCAACTGCTCCTCCATTACTTTTATTTCTTCCGTTTCCAATACGATATCAGTATGAATGAGCTCTGCCAGCAGTCGAGCAGCAATCTCATTTCCGCACAAAACTGTAGTCAGATGTCTTGAAGTAGATTCCGAGTCTTCTCGAACCTCAATTCGAATTTCTTGGCCAAAGCTGTTTTTGAATATGTTGGATTCCTCGCCCAAAATATGGTCTCTCAGTTCAGGAAACTATATGATAAGAAAAAAAATTACACCGATGATGAATAGATTCTTGTTTTAAGAACGATTGCACAAAATAATGTAAACGATCAATTCAGCTCACTTTCAGCGAAACATCATGCTTTACTACTTCCTGTACCAGAACGTCGGCCAGCGTTTTAAAATCACGAACAAACCGCTCATTCTTCTCCTTCTCTGCTTTTTCCTCAACCATTAATTCAAAAAGCTCCTCCTGACAGCGCCATGCTCGCGCAATCTTGGCGGATTTTTCGCTCACTTGAAGCAAAATCTCGACGAGCTCTTTCGCGGCCATTGGAAGACAGCAGCTGAGTAAACAACATTAACATTCGAAGGGAGGGGAGGGTAGAGATAAGAACCGTCATAGGCCCGTCTATTACTATGATTGGTCAGTGGAGGAGGCCTCAAATTTGTGAATTTTCTTTTATTGCATTTTAATCTTCACCATTTTAGAGAGATGATATAAAAACTTTTTTTTCCAGGTATTTTAGAAAATTGGAGTACGAGGAAAAACTGGCCGAAATAATTACCCCATACTCCGTCCCATTCCCACCCGGAAACTTCTGGCGACTACCGCTGACACGTCAGATGTATTTGCCGCCATTTTTGACTTTCTTTGCCCTTGTCAAGGTTTTCGTTTCTGAATCGTTGCAATTTGACTCGAGATGCCTCGTGAAATTATAACTTTGCAAATTGGACAATGTGGAAATCAAAGTGAGTTTAATTTCTAACGTTAAAAAATAATTTCCTAAGCTTTACCAGCTGGATTTAGTGATTGTGTACATATTGGACACTGGGTTATGATATTTCACTCGTAAGCTTTTTCATGGACCTCATTACGAGCTGTAATTCTCAACGTAGCTCATATTATTTCATTCACTAGTTGGAATGGAGTTTTGGAAGCAGCTTTGTGCTGAGCATGGAATAAGACCAGGTAATTTTATAATATGGTGCTCAGTTATTAGTCAAAATATATAAGCTTAGTTTTCCAACTCGATTATATTGGTATACGTTCCATTAATCGTAGAGAGCTTCTCTATTTTAATTATTGAAATCTAGTTTGTTTGCAGAACTGGTCTGTAGACTGAAAATACTTTGTTGATCGAGGGTTTTTTTTTAAGTCTCGAAATTTTTATGAACTGGTCTTTCTTGATTTAAAGATGGAATCCTTGAAGATTTTGCCACAGATGGAACTGACAGAAAAGATGTGTTTTTCTATCAGGTACAGCAAGAAAAGCTACTTCATATTTTTAACATGTATGGAAAAAGAGCTTGTGTTATTTACTGATTTTAAGCTTTAACCCCCCCGAAAGTGATCAGAATCTAATTTCTCCCAGCATTATTACCCCTGAATGAAACATTAAGGTTATGAGAAAAGAGGAAGTGATCACCAACTGAAGCAGTTCTTCATTGTTAAACCACTTCCCTTTGTACCTTTGGAAATGTGTACTGACGTTACAGTGTAAAGAGTAATGTCTGTTAACCCTTTAACTCCCAGAAGTGATTAACATAAAACTTCTCCCTACAATATCCATACATTCTTCAGCAAACAGGTAATGAGAATATTCAAACTTATCTGGTAGAAGCTGCTATCATGATCTAGCACCAAGTTCCCATAACTAATTTACAAGGAAATGTGTAGCAGCTACAGGGGAGAATTAACAATCAGATCTTGGGAGTTAAAGGGTTAATTATATTTTCTGTAGGCAGATGATGAACACTACATCCCCAGAGCAGTTCTGTTAGATTTAGAACCAAGAGTAATAGATGCAATCACATCATCACCATATGCCAACTTGTATAACCCTGAAAATATGTACACATCAAAGCATGGTGGAGGAGCTGGAAACAATTGGGCCAGTGGATACTCACAGGTGATGGACAAGTTATGCACATGTTTACTTCCTTACATTTGGACACAAACCTAGAAAACTGGGCAGAGTGAAGTCCTGTGAAAAAATGATGGGGTGGAGCAAATATATCCTTGGTATACTGTTGTTTTAAGAGAGGTTTTAAAAGTATCAACTATTTTTCATTGGAAATCAAAAAAATTGAATGAAAAGTCAAGCCAAAGAACTAGTCTTTTCTCCAGAAATTTCACCCACAAGCCCCAGCTCCATGCACTTGATCCAGTTCTCTTACCACACCTCCAAGAATACTGTACATTACCTTTTCAAATTTTGGTCTTAATAATTTTTTAAAAAGAAGAAACTTTCAATTTTACTTTGTCAGGCTGAACGTCTTCATGAAGAAACTTTTGATATAATTGACAGAGAGGCTGATGGGAGTGATAGTCTAGAGGTATGGTAATGTGTATGTTTGTTTGAGTAGAATTTAGTACCTTCACTCAAATCTTTTTCCTGTGTCATTCTGAGATTCTATTCTGAAAGATATGGCTGTCTGAACACCTAAGTTATTTAATAACAAGGTCATTGGCACCCTAACTGACTTAATCAATCACTTGCTAAAGTAACTGATTAAATTGATTTTTTGCAGGTTGCCTAACCTTTTATTTCCTTAACTGATTGACTGACTGTTTGATTGAATTGTTAGCTTTGGAGCTGAATGTCTTTACTGTCTTTATGATAAACTGATTTGCCTATGGCTAGCTAACTAACTGGTGGACTGTTTAACTGATGATTATTTGTTTGTTTTTGAAGGGCTTTGTAATGTGTCATTCCATAGCAGGTGGAACAGGATCTGGTATGGGATCATATCTGTTAGAAAAACTTAATGACAGGTACAGTAAAATTTTAACGTTGCAGTCAAACATAAAGGCTTTTTGGGAATGCAAACCATAACAGCAAATGAAACAAAGCTAGAGATTTCTGCTTTATCTTCTCTAGACTCTTTTATTAGTAGAGTTAAGTTTTATTGGTGTCAATGAGGTTTGCATAGCCCATGTGTCAGCCCTCATAGATATTTCCAAAGTGAGAGTAATGTAGAGAAGTTCACAACTTGATTTTTACTCAATATTTCTTTCAATAGATTCCCAAAGAAGTTGATTCAAACATACTCTGTGTTTCCACAACAGGTGAAAAACTTTCTCTTAATAATTATTTTTCTGGTTCACTAAGTTTGTAGACAAATTGCTAGATAGTACATTTAGCACTTTTTCATGAGATAGACTTGACAATCCATGTCATAATGGATAATATGATCACCTTCCAGAAGCTTTCCTGTTCTCTGTGTATTTCTGACAATAAGTGTATTGTTGTTTCACAGGAAGACATTAGTGATGTTGTAGTACAGCCATATAACTCTATACTTACACTCAAGCGACTCACTCAAAATGCAGATTGTGTGGTATGTATTATGGACAATATTTTGCACCAACTTGTACAGGAAATTGCCAGGTTACAAGCAGAATCAAGATATAAAGGATAGGAATTTGTTCTCAGAATTTTAGCATCTATGTAATATGAGTGCAATTTTCAAAAAGTATAGTTAGTCTTTGGAATCTCAAAATGGGCTCATCAATTACTTTCAAAAAGTAAAGTTAGTCTTTGGAATCTCAAAATGGGCTCATCTTAGTATCACAAGTACTTTTGGATTTTTGAGTTCAAAATTATATGGTTTCTGGACCGTGGGTTATCGTTTGATGACTACAATTTTGATTTCATTCAAAGGTTGTTCTTGACAATACAGCTCTCAACAGAATTGCAGCAGACAGGTTGCACATACAAAATCCAACATTTTCTCAAGTAAATCAACTGGTATGTCATGGCATTTACCTTTACCTCATCATTTATTTTATATCAGCATTTAGGAGTTCAGCCACTCAGGTTGGCCAAACCTTTTGATAGAAGTTGTTGTTGAAAAAGAAATTGGATGAAAAAGTATTGGTCTTGTAGGAAAGTCTGCTCTTCAATCTTTGGTCCAATGAGCCTGAACTCCTGGTTTTTTAAAGAGGGAAGGAGATAAAATCAAACCTTTCTAGACTAGGCTTATAACTATAATTTGCATAATATCTTTTGTAACAGGTATCTACAATCATGGCTACAAGTACAACAACTCTTAGATATCCAGGTGAATGAGTTGTTTAAATCATAGAAGTAGTGCTAACAATGTTAATGTATGTTAGGGAATAATTTAACTTGGGTTGAAATTGATTTGACACCATTTGATACAATCCCAAGGTGAGCTAAGGCTCACTGATGAGTTGATGAGCCAAGGGTTAGGCTCATCAGTTATTACCAAGTCAATGACCGAGGAGATGACACAGTGGTACTTTGAAGGTTATACCCAATGTGATCCACTTTCTAGACATATCTGCCTGCATTAAAATTTGAGAAAATCCTTAATTTTTCTCTACCCTGACAGTATGATTCGTTCCTTTTAAAAATATTGTAATTGAAAAGATAGACAGCTATACATGTAGCTATACTGTAGCTACATTTGACATGCATACCTCCTTCAATAAACAAGGCAACTGGAAGCAGTTGGTTGTAGATTTTGTTCATTCATTCCTTTTATAAACATTTTGTTGCAGGTTACATGAACAATGATCTGATTGGTTTGATTGCATCTCTAATTCCCACACCACGATTACATTTTCTTATGACTGGGTACACTCCACTTACTACTGATCAGAAGGTAATTTTAACTGTTTAGTTAAATAGCCTTTTACAAGTGATAAAAGCAGTGTGGCTAAATCAAGCCGCACAAGCAGACACCCTAAGAAAAAAGGGCATCTGTGATGGAATTACATTGTTAGCAGGGTTGGGTTGTTTAAAGCCAGGTTAAGATAGCCATTAATGTGAAATCTGATTTCATATCTGAAAGATTTTAAATAAAATTCAGTGTAATTCTTTTTGTCCACAATCTGATTATTGGATGCTCTATAAAGAAAAGGGAAAATTATCCCAAAAAGGCTTTTAAACTAAGGAATAAAGAAACCTGGATTAAAATTTAACCTTAGGTTAGTGCTAATCGACATTTGAACAACTGGGCCCAGATTGTGGAGCATGAAGTAACTTTGAGTAGAGCTATGTCTTCTGAATGAGAGTCTTGTCTTCTGGGCCTAGTTGGATAACAGGCAGATAACGCTATCCAAAAGATAAATTGCTATCCAGTAGATAAGTGATAGCAAAATGTATAATGTTATTCACTGGACAGAGATTTATCCAGTGGATGGTGTTATCGGACTTTTGAACTACTGGGGCCTACAGGTTATCTTCAGTTTTACATCACTCTTAAAGGGTGCATTGAGAGAGCTTAAACTATATTGCCATTATAGTGGAGCTCACAGAGCGTAGCCCCATAATTATACAAAATATTAGTGACCCATCAAGCCGAAAAATTTGGATGTACGACGGTACAACTGTACAAGGTGCTACTTTTAGCGTGCGTGGTCTACTGTACCGTGGGCATGCCAATGCCACGGCTTTGTCCAGTGGTCAGTGTACTGGGCTCCGAGTCAGACGGCCCAGGTTCAAGTCCTGGCCGGGGCAAGGCGTTGTGCCCTTGAGACATGTGGGAAAAAAAAAGTGAGCTCTGCTTTTAGGCTTGGCTAAATCTATATATTATTATCTCTCCTGGTTTCCTTTGTAGCTTTTTATTGATAGGTCTTATCATGAACATGCTTTCTATGATAATAGAGACTGTTCCTCAAGAAGATTAAACAAAGGTTGCAAAGAAGATAATCTCTCAGCTAGATCTGATGACAATAAAAAAATGTATAAATTTTTTCATTTACATTCCCTTTGACTTTCTTCTCTATCTGATTTTAAGGTGGCTAACATTCGTAAAACAACAGTCCTTGATGTAATGAGAAGGTTGTTGCAGGTAAGGAGAGCTGTCATCACAAACAGGAAAAGATGTTATTGATTTTTAAAAGTTATATACTCAACAGCAGATTTACCTAGATGAATATAAAGTTGATCTCCTTATTAAGTTTTTGCTTGAAATTTCTTTCTCTTTCTTTAAGCCTAAAAATGTAATGGTGTCAACACTCAGAGACAGGAAACACAACCACTGTTACATCTCCATTCTGAACATCATCCAAGGCGAAGTTGACCCCACTCAGGTACATAAATATTACTTTATCAGTTGAATCAGATGTCATTTTCTTGGCTTATTGAAAAGGCTATTTAAGAGCAAGTGTTTTTTGTATTCAAGGTTCATAAGAGTCTACAGCGGATCAGGGAAAGAAAGCTTGCAGAATTCATTCCATGGGGACCTGCCAGTATTCAGGTAAAAGACAAACAAGGTATTGCTGGGTCCACTTGCTAAAGAAAACTTATAATTTTAATCCAATGACTGATTCAGCTCGTTTCCTTTATTTATCCTCCTTCCACTTGACCTCACTGTCAAATTGAATTATTAACTTGGTCACATGACTTATGCCCTGTGTTGGGTGGAGTGGAGTGGAGTGGAGTGGGGTGGGGTGGGGTGGGGTAGCTATCTACCTCTTGCAGAAACAGTATGCACACTTCATTTGATGCTGCTTGTTCTATCTTAATTTACTTTTGGTGACATTCCCCAAATATTTAAATGTGATCCACAAACTGCTTAAATCAAGAGAGCATCTATTCCTGCTTGAAAGGCTAAACCTTGTGACATAATTTGTCTCATAAATTCAGGTTGCATTGTCAAGAAAATCTCCATATGTACAGACAGCACACAGAGTAAGCGGACTGATGTTGGCAAATCACACAAGTATATCAACTGTAAGTCAAATTAGATTTCAGTCATTTTTTTCATTTTCGAAATATAGCAAATACCTAGCTGTTTATTTGATCAAATAAGGAGTAATTTCGCTTTGACTCACACCAACGTTTTTGTGAACAGGTATTTGAAAAGAACTGCCGACTCTTTGATAAACTTCGGAAGAGAGAAGCCTTCTTGGAAAATTATAAAAAGGAGGAGATTTTTAAGGACAACTTCGACGAGCTAGATGCTTCAAGGTGAGAAAGGGGAACTTGCAAAGAGAAAGAATCGTTTGTTATTCCGAGGTTTAAACCCTTAGATTATAAGCGACGAAATGGTCCCTCAGGGCCTCTTCTTCATTTGGTAGTAGAGCCCAACTAGTTTATGGGAAACGAAAGTGAAGTGATGCGCTCTAGATCAGATCGATAAATGTGTGCATTGGTCTTCCTGTTACATAATTATTTGATGCTTTGTTTCTTTTACAGAGAAGTTGTTCAACAATTGATAGAGGAATACCAAGCCGCTACAAAAGCTAATTACATCATGTGGGGAACTCAACAGCAGGTCATTTAACTTCATTAAAAGCGATTACGTTAATAACAGCGGGATGTGCATCAGACCCTAGCGTAGCACACTTGAAGCGATAATGAAGACAAGTTTTCCTTTAGTTAGACACAACTATTAGCAATGTTAACTTGCGATAAGTTTTTTTTTCCTAGTGCGATGGGAAGGGGCTTATAATCAACATCACAATCGAACCTTTTTTTGATTACCAGTGTGGAGAGCATGGAATATCATCAGATATATAAAGGAGAGTTGGGGGTTGCTATGAGGGTCTAGGTAACGTTTACGCCAACTCCACCGTGTTCTTCTGTTATACATACTCTGTTAACGGTTCCTGGTTTTCATCAGAGACATTTTTATCAAAATGTTGGGGGTTAAATTTCCCAGATTTCCTATCCTCAGTTTCGGCGTCCTCTTTTGTCTTCCTTTGTATCCCTTCACACCACACTTCTTTGAAATCCTGACAAAAGTTGAAAGATTAATTTCTGGTTTTTTTTTTTGTTTGTTTGTTTTTTTTTTGCTGTTGCTATTTGTTTACAGGGAGCGGCCGCGTCTGGATTAGATACAAAGATTTGATTTCAAGAACACGGGAAACAGATTTTCAATTTTGTATCTCTTGTGCTGGGATTCGGCTTAAAGACCGACTCACAGCGACATAAGAATCAGCGAGCTTTGACGGTAAAAACGACAATCTCTTTGAAACGGAGGGCCGGCCTATGCAGGGGTGTGGAGGGGAGGAGTCGGCCTATGCAGGGGTGTGGAGGGGAGGAGTTAGTAAATTCGAGTGCAGAGAAAGCGTAAAGTAGAATCGTTGAGTCCGGGGATGGTATTCACGGTTTACGCAGCAGATTGAAGAAATATGGCCTCCTTTCGATTCGGGCATTTCTTTCTTGTTCGTTACTAGATCCTGCACTCTGATAAATTTTCCTCTCTTCCTCGCATGTTAGGCCAGCCACGCATGTTTCAAGCTTTTGTTACTATAATGCGCAGTTTAAATGATGTCAAACAGACAGTCTGTCCAACTGAGATTGAAGAACAGAAATGTTAGTCTTCGTAGACAGCACCGCCCAGAAGCACAACCTGACAAACTTTGTAGTATTATCTCCTGTGGTTAGACCCTTGAGACTAAATCGAAATCACTGACAGTAAACCTCGCCTTGCGTTCATCATTTTTGCCACTCTAACATTTTTGATAAGTAATCTAAGAAAAGTCGTGTTTATAGTATTCCTAGGGCGCTAGTCCATTAAGAATAGGTATATTAGTCTCCCTCGCCAGGTCACTCAATTTTTTCATATGATGAAGTTGTTTTAGATTCCCCTGTAAACTTTGTGTTCTTGTGGATCAGTCGGGAATAAATGCAAGAGCTGAACGCTCTATTAAGAGACTGACTCGACTGAAGCCAGTCAGGTTTATGTTCACTGAGAAATATTGTTAGACTTTTTGCCGCTGAGTAAGTTTACTTGAATATAAATCCGTAGATACGTTTGTTGAAGTGAGCATATTTGGTTAATTGTAAAGAGAGTTTGGTGGAAGTAAACGTGAGTGTGCGTGATCCGTGTACGTGTTCTTGCGAGAGAAATATGTGCAATAGCCGGCATGAAGAACCATTGCGAGGTTTAGATTCTACTGACCTGTCGACGCACGGTGTATTTTCTATGGTCATTTCTCTTCGCTCCCTTTCCCCCCACCAAAAAAAAAGGGAACAGAAATAAACAATTGTAAATGTGTTTGTGTCTCATTATCTCAAAACTGAAAAGAAATAACAAATAGATTGAAAAGAAAAGAAAACCCAAATATTCGCAAGGTCATTTGGAATCCGTGCGTATCACCTCTACCCTGAAACATCCTCGTTCCTTTGTTGTTCTTACCTTTGTGGTTTCCGCCTTGCCAACATAACTTTTATTTAATGGTTTCCATTTATCCGAGGTAAACTGTCTTTCGTGTCAGAAAAAAACTGAGTCACGACGCAGATCTTTAAACGGTCCATTGAACGGGAACCCCCGTCTCTTTCTTAATGACGTACAGCAGAGTTAATGGCCCACCCTCCAGATTAGACTTTTATTCATCAAAATCAGCGCAACTTCACTGCTTGCGGAGTCTGATTAAGAATGTGGCCAAGGTTAATTAAAAGTGAAGGAAAACAAGTCTTGTCTACTAGTATCTACATTGGAAGAATAGAATGTTTTATTTAATGTCGAAGACGTGGGAAGGGTTTGCACAATCTTCCGAGCCAGAGGCTCATGTTAAAAACGCTCGACAAACTAAAAATACAAGACAAGATGAAATGTGGGTTATGCGTATATAAATATTAAAAAATATTGATAAATATCAACTAGCCAGGAGTATGTAAATATGTACAAATAGATGATATTTGGTATAGTTGCAATTGTCAACAACAATTCTGACAAATTGTTATTGACAAGTCTCTCTGTTTAAAAGCTGTGACGTCAGTTCGTGAACAAGGGAACCGATCAACGATGTCTGCCATCTTGCCCACTTTCTTTTCATGTTTGAAGAAAACACTTGAACTCCCTCATAGTTATTTATTGCACTTCTCCAGTAAAACGGAATTCAAAAATGTAATTTTTTTCGGTGACGAAGCTATCGTCGTCTAGTCACGCGTCTTGTCAATTTAAAAAAGTAAAAAAGTAAGACACGCTATCCATTTCTCCGTTCTTCTTAAGCTGACTGATCACAATTAAATATTTAGTTTCATGCGTTGGCACGTGCAGACATCTCCTTTAACGCGTGCTGTCGATAAACCCGTGACCGGCAATCATGCACTGAAACTCGCTTTATTTTTGACGATATAATTTGTTATTTGAATGCTGTGGTCAGATGACCGCATTCCATTTATATTGTGATGCTGTAGTAAATTTACATTAAAAAAGTAAGATTACATTGCAAAATAACAAAACACAAGATATTCATGAGCCAATCACGAGCCTCTGTATATCGTCATCCCATATGAGGACTGGAGTGATGACCAGCGGCGCTCCTTTAGGCGAGACTAGTTCGCGATTCGTGTTTCACGTGGGAAAGGTTTTGTTGTGGAAGGTTTGAAAGGGAGGTTATAGTTTAGTGTTACATATTAAACAATGTCTTCTCTAGAAAATAGCAATCGAGGGGCACTGGCTGCCATGCCCGATCCTGCTACTTTTTATCGAAGGAAATTTTTGTGTGCCGCCCCAGCTGGCGGAGGAAAAGGCAAGCGGCATCCAGGGAAAGCTATCCTCGCAGGTGAGGCACTTTTATTTATAGCAGTTATTTCTATAGTTTGTCAGCTGTGAAGAATTATTTAGCCAATCAGATTTAAAGGATGATATCTGTTTGTTTGAACCAGCTTGCTTCTATCACTCGTGGGAGAATATTCAAGTGCTTGCGATCAATGAACTACTAACATGTTTTGAATAAGCTTAAAGAGTGAGTGTTCTTTTTGTTTAAGTTTGGGGACCATTTGTCGTTACGGTATGTTTCAGCGACTAGACTATAGCTTAAACACGAGAATGCTTCATTATGCTTCAGTTTTTATTATACGCAGAGAGAACGGACGTTTTTCGTTGACGCTCTATCCCTCTATCGTTACTGTTTACAATTTGCCTTGGATCACCATTGAAAGTACAAAGGTCGAAGTTATTTCTTATTTCACTGAAAGGCGTCAAAGACGTTTCGAAAAGTTATCGTAGTTAGGGCCTTATGAAATATCATTGAACATATATCGATTTTTTTTTGTTTTGTTCAGATGAAATCGAGAGATAACATTTTTTCTACGTGGCAGAATAATTTTTCCAATGGGCGATTGTTGCTTGTGGACGTGGTCGCTTTTACGCAATATACCGTAAATCAGAAAGCGTTGAAATCTTTAATAACGGCTGACACTCCGCGATTAATCGTTAATTAGCTTACTAGCGTTTCATTTGAGGCTAACATAGTTAAAAAAAAATGTTGGGAAGAAGAGTGATTCGTGTCAAGGAAACTTCAAGAAATTTTTTGTGAACCCAGAATCAATATAACAAACATCTTGACGTGACACACCCCCGTACCACCCATTGCGCAATTTCCGATTTGCGTGACTTCTCATCTCCGATGAGAAGGGGCAGAATATAAAACTAATAATGATGAAAAGTCCAAAGTTGAAAGAGAAAGCCTGGGAAATTTTGAAAAGTGTGTTGTGTTATAAAATTAAACAGAACATTGTCAGAACTGAAGCTATTGACACAATTGTGATAATTTTCTTTGAAAAATTTGGAAGCCAACTTTAACTTTGACATTGATTGCTAGGGAAAATGTGTACTGTTCCAAAATATTTTGTTGATATTTTTGTCCCCTTTTTCTCAAGGACAATTAATATTTCAGTAAATAAATAAATTACATCATTTAATGTTTTTTAAAAATCTTATATAACATGCATAGGGAAGGAAAGAGAGAGGGAGGGCTGAGTGCGTCATGTGAAGGATACCTTCATATTTCTTGAAGCTAGACATAAGTTTAGAATATATGAACTAACTAATTTTTTTAGATTGTACTTTGAAATATTTCACAGAAAAAAACTAATTCTGTGATATATTTTTTTTGAACAGGAGGGATTGCAGGTGGACTTGAAATCTGCTGCACATTTCCAACAGAGTATGTAAAAACCCAAGTACAACTAGATGAGCGAGCGGCAAAGCCTATGTATAAAGGCCCTCTTGATTGTGCTGCTAAAACAGTAAAAAATCATGGGTTTTTTGGACTCTACAGAGGTCTCAGTTCATTGTTGTATGGCTCAATACCAAAAGCATCTGTAAGGTGAGGGATAATAATTGTCTCTTGTTATTTTGTCAAAAGAGGTCAACTAGTCCATTGAGTCATAGACAAATGTGTGGACTTTAATCCTTAAACACCAAGATGTAATTAACATGTAACTTCTGCCAACAAAATCCATAAAGTATCCAGCAAAAAGGTGATGAGAAGACCCAAACTTATCAGTTAGAAGATGTTATCTTAATGTAACACCAAATTCTTGTAACTGATTGACAAGGAAATTTGTTGGAGCTAGAGAGGAGAATTGATTATCAGATTTTGGGAGTTGAAGGGTTAAAGACACATGCAGTCTAATAATGTTTAAATTGAAAGCTATGTAATTGATTTTGCAGATTTGCAATGTTCGAGTTCCTAAAAAATAACATGGTAGATGACAAGGGTAAATTAACACAAGTGCAAACCCTCCTTTGTGGATTAGGAGCAGGAGTTGCAGAGGCTGTCATCATAGTGTGTCCAATGGAAACTGTCAAAGTCAAGTTTATTCATGATCAGACACAACCAAATCCAAAATATAAGGGTTTCTTTAATGGTGTTGGAACTATTGTGAGAACAGAGGGTAAGTTAAATATTTTCAGATATACAGAGGAATTTTTATTCAGGTAACATTTAAATTGAATCATTTCAATTAAAGGAGGTACTTGTACTGGTAATCAATCATAGAGAGGTGACCTAGTGATCTGCATTTCAACTGGATCTCAGCTGGGATCATGGGTGTACCAAATGAGCTTTTTTTTTTCTTTTGGCTGACCTTTGATTTCTTTATCTTAGGATTTGGTGGAGTCTACAAGGGTTTAACAGCCACAGTAATAAAGCAGGGAACCAATCAAATGATTCGATTCTTTGTATATTCCAACTTGAAGAACTATCTTCAAGGAGGTGACCCTAGCGTAGACATTGGCTTTATAAAAACATTTTGCATTGGTGGAGTTGCAGGGGCAGCCAGTGTCTTTGGAAACACTCCTGTTGATGTTGTTAAAACAAGGATGCAGGTTTGTGAACACTGATATTTTTTGAAGATGTTTGCTTGAACATTTACAAGCCGATACTCATTTTTCTTCTTTAATTGTTGTTGCATTTAGCGGATGACTTGTCTATAACAAAATAATGAAAAACTAAGTATGGTCACTAAACTTGATGTGGCAAGAAAGTGCCTGTGTGAAAGCTTTCCCTATTTTCTTGTACGTTGGCACTTATTTGAAGAGTATCTACATGTTGTCATTGAAGTTTTGCTTGGAACCAGTGTGATTACCATTTAGACATACACAATAAGACATTTTTGTTTCTTGAAATCTCTCTTGCAGGGTCTAGATGCACACAAGTACAAGAACACTTTAGATTGTGTAATGAGGATTATCAAATATGAAGGACTGAAAGCGTATGTAAAAATTATTTTTGTAGACTTGTAAGATGAAAACAAAGCTGCTAGTTAAACAAGCCAAGGACAATATGTAGGTCAACCCCTTCACAATAGAAATTCAACTTTGGGTTTTTGTTAATAGGTTACTAAATCCTAATAAAAAATGAAGTGTAACAAATCTACTGGTACTTTCAAACAATGGCTTATGAAGACTTTTATCTCCTTTTCCAGGTTCTACAAGGGAACAGTACCTCGTCTTGGCAGAGTGGTCTTTGATGTTGCCTTTGTTTTCACTTTTTATGAAAACGTCATGAAGTTGTTAGATTATGTTTGGGAGACAAACTAAATGAACAATTCTGCAAACCTATAATTTATGATTGCACCTTTTATAATCAGACAGATGTAATTTGAACACTGACATTATTTCCTTTACTTTCAAGAGTAGTTTTTCCACAATAAAAATACAATGTTAAAGGTTAACTGTACTTTGTTGGTACAAATTATTTAAGAGGTGAAAGGTGGTGTTGAAATGGCATTATTAATTTTATTTTTGGAAAATTTGCAAGGAAATTGGAATTTTTTAAAATTTTTTTTGGTATACAATTAACATAAATCCTTTCTTTATTGTGGGGTACAGGTATACACATTATTACACAGTATGCATACCTATCCATTCACAAGATGATGATTCCAACATTTTGGGAGTAAAAGAAAGAACTAATCATATTGAAAAGGGATCAATTCACAAAACAAAATATTTTACAACAATGTAAGATATAAAGGTTCTATGAATAATAATTACACTAATAACAATGCCTATTAATTATTAAAAGGTATTTACAAAGGAGTGTTGTGTGCAAGGTTTCTGTTCTCTTTATTGGGTTGTTTTCACTAATAAACAGGGTACCATCCCTAACTCTTTAAGTATTACTGCACCATATACTTGATAATGGTAGATTTTATATGATATTATTCTGCCTGAATGATATGATTTGGGTGAGGTAAAGCATTGGAAGAAACTACGCACTGACTAAATATATTCATCATATTGACCTGGACTGCCATCAGAAAATAAATCATTTAATACATATAGAAAAAAGCCTTTAACAGCCTGGGATTACAGCACCATACTCTTCATCTGTTTCAATACCAATGTCCTCCTACAAAGCAAGTAAACAAACACATGATAAGTTGTGGCTGAGTTTTCCTTTATAACCAATCTAAAGTTATTCTCCAAAGGAATCTCAGGATTTTATCTCATGAGCAAGGGGGAAGTCTTCTCTTTTTGAGCACCTCACTCCTGGTGCTCCCAACAGTGCTCTAACATCAATTTTTTTTTTTTCACTTGTGCAAAGGATTTTGCTGAAAAGGAAGGGAATGCTCTTTGACTAATTAAAAAGAGAATTTACTCCTAGGTCACCCCTGGGAGTGAAATGATAGTCACTGGAATGCTACTCACAATTAACATCCAACTTCTCCTTACAACATCACCCCCAAATCACACATCAAAGTCACGAGAATAAAGGAAATGATCCCCAACTAAATAACCTCTTGCTTATTAACAAATTCTCCTTGTGCCCACCTTAGGAAATGTGTAGAGAACAGTGTAGAGAATATGCATACTGATGTTAGGGTGTAAAGGGTTAACTTTGTCTTGCAGTCACTTGACTATCATCACTTACAGAGACTGGTTAGTTTACATACTCAAAGACACACTCAAATGATAAAATATAAAAAAAATAGCTTAAAAAAATCTCATTCTATAAAAAAAGGAAAATTATCTTACAATAAGCTGTTTCTTGGGTTTGGGATAACCTTCCAAAATGCCATTTAAAATGTCTGTTGCCTAAAGAAATAAATTACAAAACACATCAAAGTTGATGTTTTAAAATTACACTTAAAAGTTGTTGAGTGATTATAGCCATTCCACTGATCTGGGTTGCAAGGAATGAACTTGGATCTCCAGGAAAAAAGAGAATAGTCAGGAAGAAGTAAGAAAAACTTGACATCATAAGGGTTACACAATTACTGGTGAACCAATATATTTATCTTCAAGTTGTGGCTTTAAATAGACACTTCTGCAAGTGACACTTTTAATTGACAGATTGTCATGTGGTAACAAGAACAGCTTTTCATAAGCTACTCTAATGAAAATAATTGCTTATTCATAGAACATTCTATAGGATTACATCAAATTTCAGCAATAAATCAGTGTGCATGACTAAGGGCATGACTCAAGCATAACAAGGTAAACAACATATCATTCTAGAAAATTCTGAAGTGTTCTGGAACACTACATTACATGGCCCACACAACAAGTAGAACATTAACTAAGAGGATCAAAGAGCTGTACTCAGGACTGCTTATAGCAAACCAAAAAAGTGTTTAGAGCAAGATTTAAACCCAGGACTGCTGAGCTTAAGTCCTACACCCTACCACACTCAGTCATTCTGTCTCTGTGATGGTTTGGGATAATTAAGTGGTGCCTTGGTTGTAACTCCTGAATTTTTTGCCAAACTAAATTCCTTCATTTTCTCCTCTAACAGAATTGCCCCATCCTTAAAAACAACTTATACTCAATCAAATCAAGTCAATAAAGAAAACTATCATACCAATCGCTTCCTCTTTTTCCACATCTGGACATACTGCTTGTGATCCTTATAGATCTTTTTTAAAGAACAGGATATCACAGAGTAAAAACAGAAGTGAAAGAAAAATGCTCTCATGTTAAAAAAAAAAAAGCTCCAAACAACTTTAAGGATCTAAGAAGTATTACCTTATCTTTTTCCTCTGGAGTAACATGCTTTGTTGCTGAAAAAGGAAAAGGTATTAAAAAGTTTTGAATTATCTGGATGCAAAAAAACTCATTATCATGCACCTGCATGTAATTAGAAAAAGTAAACTCACTAGACTTAATATTCTTGAGTCTTTCCTGGTATTTGTCACACTGCAAAAGGAAAAAAGGGAAGGGAACTTTAAATTTTGTATTCTATTCCAATACTACTGCTCCTAGGCAGGATAGAATGTGACAGTGAATCTAGTTCAGTCTTGACAGAGACCTCATCCTGAGACAAACATGTATCGGTTCAAACACCATTTCTTCCTCTCACTATTTATAAAGAGAAGAGAATCAGTCATTGACAAAAACAAAAGCAGTAAATGACGAAAAAATCACCTTAAAATAACAAATATTGTAGTAAATAAATACCATTAAATAGATGTATAACTATAATCAGATACATTGTAGCATACAAGTTATGCATTCAGCTTTGACTGCAGCATGTAAATTAATACCTTTTGAGTCAGCTCTGATAGTTTGGTCTTGGCATCTTTGGTTGTAAGTGTACTGTTAACATTGCGCAGCTCTAAAATCATATAGGGTTAAGAATGACATGTTTGATACATGCCCTAAAAATCACAGTAAAGCATAAGCAAAATATATCATACAAAATGCTGCCTACAATTCTCACCTTTTGAATAATTAGCCAACATGTAGGAAACATGAAGGAAGACACAAATGGACAAAATTGAAGAAGGTTATCACCCATTTGAATTGGAGGTTGAACAGCTAAGCTTAACAGTTAGTTTTATTGAAAGCTCACTCGAAATATATCCTTGTCTGAAGCTTTGATTGTGACACTTAGACAGAATGTTTCTGTAATTGCCTTTCCCAGGAAACCATAGTGACATGACACAGCCCCTTTAAATTCCAACAACTATTGCACCATCCTTGATTATCATTGTCATTTGTAATTTTTCATGAATATTAGGGGTTGCGATAAAAGCCACTTACTGGCAGTCTACTTCCACTTTTAAGACCTCTTATCACCCTCTGTTTAGTCTGCAAGAAGGCTCTTATGTTTGGGGTTTCCCCTTACAGCAAAGCTGCCATTGACAGCTGCTTATTTTAAATATGCTACACCATGGAAAATTAAGAAAACTTATGCAATTATCATTACCTGACTCTTGAGTTTTCAATGTTTCTTGTAACTTCTTCAATTTCTCTGAGCATGCACTGATTTGTGAATCAATTTTCTTGATCTCATTTTCATCATAGTCTCCAAACTGGTCCTGCAGACAACCAAATAATGATTTTGAAAATGTTACTAACTAAATCAATTTACTTACTATGATAGCACTAATAAAGACAAAATGTCAATATCATATGGTTGGTTTTTTGGCTCCTTAGGAAACCAGGAAAGAAAGCAAAAAGCAACCATTTTGTATAATCAGAAAAACAATTATTTATAATTTTTGTAAGTCTTTCAGATAAAAGGCACGGATCAATATCAGGATCCTACCCCACCCTGAACTCAAAAACAGTCAATTGACAACAACCTAAGGTTAATGTTGGGTTTGGGGAGGGGTAGGTGGGCAGTTGCCCAGATACTGATATTGATCCAAAGGTACTACCGTAATTACCTGTTTAGGTGCATATGCCTTCTGCTTCCCATTAATCTTCTCAGTGATAGTGCCTTCACTAGCAAGTTTTTCTAAACTCCTTTGTACTGCCTATCAAAAGAAGCAACACAATGATTTTCAATTTATCAGAAATAAATTGAGTGCAGGGCTTTCATTCACACACTATGTGTGGGTGTTTGTATATATTGTATTTTATGGCAGTTGTTTTGAAGGAAATAGAGGGGAAAATCTTATTTGCAACCCTTTGATCTCTGTTAAAGAATGAAAGAATCTCAACACAGAAATAGAATTTCAAAAGTGCGTATATTTACCGTTTTTCCATACTCTTTGTGCAGATTCGAGAAAATATCAACTGCAAAAAAACATACATAGGTAGATAAGCTTTAGTAACAATGATAATGAAATCTGGAGTCTTTATTTAGACGCGTAATTATTATATCCTACACAAAAATTTTGTATAAAACGGAGGAAAAGTAGTGTTATCCTATATAATGGAGGTAAGATAATCATATTTCAGTTTGACATTTCTTACTTGCACTATAAGGTCGGTTCTGTTTGGTAAGATACGCCAACACCGCTTGAGACGCTGTAATTCACACAAAGAACACAATTTCAGACGTGAAACAAAATTTTATCTATAAAAAGAAACATCGTACATCCAGTTTATTTTTAATATACCTTCTTCTTCGGATTTCTTACTCATTTTCCAAAAACTTCACTTCATAGATTTCCGCGCCAAATTTGTACCTCGCGCCATATAATTTCAAGTGTTCTTAACTGAAGTACAAATAAAACCGCTGCCAAAGTTCACAGTCATACTATAAATTATAGGCTAAAACCCCGTATGGTTCTCTTTCTCCTCTTTACTGCGAATCCGATTCTCTGAGCGAAATGGTGGGTAAAAATCCTTGGATTATTTCATAAATGAAAGGCCATCGAGAGTAATAAATAGCTTCCCATGAAAGCAGAGTTATTGTCTTTGTTAGCTATATATATAGTTTTGAGTGTTTTGTAATATCGACGACTTGTTTTCGCTCGTCTCTCCAGGCAAAGAGAACTAAGAAGGTCGGAGTCGTAGGAAAGTATGGTACTCGTTACGGTGCCTCACTTCGAAAAATGGTTAAGAAAATGGAAATCACCCAGCACTCGAAGTACACATGTGTCTTCTGCGGAAAAGTAAGTCTGACATAACGAAGAAAAATACAAATTCGCTAGTTGGTGTGAGAACTCTCGAAAACTTTGCTATATCCTAGGTCTTACACCATACTAGAGTGTTTTGTATTTTTCTCAAATCGGATCAAATGATTAGCCTGCCGTTACAATATTTATTACCATAAAGCATTTAATTACGTACATGAAAAATGTCAACCCAAAGAAGAACACCACAATAAAGTCGAATGCTTGTTGTCAGTGTTGTTAATGTCAACTCTCTCCATTCACTTTGTGATCGGAGTGAGGAAACCTCATAACAGCTGACAAATAGTGCTATCAGAGTTGGATAGCTACATTTTTTAACCATATGTCTAGCGCTACATTTACAACAAGTGATTTTGATATTGCTGATTGTGACAGAAGGCAGAATTCTTGACAGTACGATATGTACCAGGACCCAGTTGTTCAAAAGATGGATAAATTGCTATCCAGTAGACAAGTGTCAATGCAACTTACTGTACCATCAACTGGATAGAGATTTATCCACTGGGTAGTATTAACCACCCTGTGAACAACCAGCACTAGGTATAATGCCTCACTTGCCTACAAGCTCTTTGTGCCTCATTAGCTTTCACTTGTAAAATCAGAATTAGCTGGATGCTTTCACAAGGCACTTAGATTTATTTGAATGACTTGCATTTCCTACAAATAATAAAATCTTCCTGCATCTTGTTTCTTCTTCCAGGAAGCCCTGAAAAGGAAATGTGTGGGAATCTGGTATTGTAGGGGATGTGGAAAAACTGTTGCTGGAGGAGCTTGGGTTGTCAGGTGAGAAAGAATACCTATAAACTTTGGGTTCTGCTGTAATCCCAAGCATTGCTACAAACTGCATAAATGATTCTTCATTAAAAGGGTACTAAAAGCCAATGGACTGCGACGACATGTCTTTCTCCACACTCATTTATCTCCCACAGTGAAACTTGCATTAAGCAGATTCTTGAACTTAAGAGACTTTTGCACTTAGCAGACTCAAGTTGAGGTCATACTGGTTTCTGCTTTGTGCAAATTTCAATTTTATTTGTTCAGAAATTAATTTTGTCATGTTAGTACTACTTCTACATATCTCAGAAAGTACTCTTGTGTCAAACTTTGAAGAGCCTGCCAATTACAGAATCAAAAGTAGGATACCCTCTTTTTCTGGTTAAGGTCTCCATCTTAAGGGAAATAGAGTGACATTAGGTAGTCCAAAGTTTTCTTTGACCAAGACTGTTTTCATAACAAAAACTTCTCTGTGTTTTCTGATGCACGATGATGAAAGCTTCTCTCTCTTTTATTTTAGCACCACAGCTGCTGTGACAGTGAGAAGTGCAGTGCGTCGTCTCAGGGAAATGCAGGAGACATAAATTGTATCACTTGTACAGTTCAACAATAAACCAGCTCAACTCCAGTTTGCAATTTTTGCTGTTTAATGATTTTTGTTTTGATTATAAAGATACAAAAGTACACTTTTGATTCCAGATTTCCTTGTCTTAGCCCCACAATTCTGTTTGATTATTTTGAGGCCCTGTGTAAACAATTAATCTCAAAGGAATAACTTGTACCTTTTTCAAGGTTGTTAGTACAATTTTAAAATTTGAGAAATTGGCCAGAGTTTAAGGAGTGGCAAAGTTTCAATTGTTTGTGTCCCAAGCTGCAACCATTTTGGTTGTAATGGCTTGTACTAGAACTAGATTTGCTGCAAGGATGAACTATTTGCCCACATGTGTTTGGCAAACAGGAAGAAAGCAGTAACGCTTTCGTTGCTCTGTATTTATGTTGTAAAGTTAAGATTTCCCCTGGGGACCAACCATTTTCTTCTGGAAAGAATTTTATGACGTGAGATTTGCCCTGGGCCAGGTTGTTCAAAACATGATTAACCAAACCTGGGATTAGTGTAAATTTTAATTCATGTTAATAGCTTTGTAAAGGAGTTTTCTTTTTTATTTTCTCCTTTTAGTTGCAAGTCATATCGAGATAAACCCCAACAAAACCTGAGCTCTTAATACACACTTCTCTACTTGAGAAATTAAAGCTAACTTTTAATCCTAGATTAACATTAACCCCCTTTCAAACAACACAGCTTTGGTTTAAATTCTTGCAAAGTTTAAACAGTTGGTATAAACACATGGTTGACTCTGCTAGTTGTCAGGGACACCTGATCCTCAGACACCTATGGGCAAATAGGCAAGTAAGAGGGAGGAAACTCAGCAGCTTCAGCTGGAAGGTAGAGTTTGTTTTCCCTTCCCCTTGCCTGATTATTTGCTCTCTGTCTCTTCAAGGATGTAGACATCTCTGGAATCTACAAGTATAATTTAAAATTATGATGGGTTTCAAAAAAAGAACAATGTATGCTATTTACAATAGTTGGAAGTTGCAAAACACATTCTGACATCAGTCAAGAATGAGCGAAATGGATTCATTCGCAATTGGCACCATCATTTCAATCTTGTCATGTATTTTAAAACAAAACTCCTGTATTAACTAGGCTTGTTCAGTCAAGTTGGCTGGATACTAACCAGTGCCTAGATCTTGCTCTTAGTCAATACCAATAGGTCTGCAAGGGGCCTCAAGTGACTCATTATTAGTGCCAGACCTAAAGCAAACCTCTCCCCACCTTGTCAAAAATCTTCCAGTGTGCAGAGACACGCATGCTCTGCCACTCCTATGATGGCCTACATACATGCTATTTTTTATTAAAAGCAAAGGCTTCCTGTCAAAAACTGACATTTCAATTTTCATGAAACTGAAAACTTAACTTCAAAGACCAGCTTTTATTGTGTCACTATCTAATAAGCTGATACTGCCATTTATTATCTCACACGCATATTTATAGAACATTATATTAATAAAAACCTCATTCCTTAGGTGTTATGACTACACAAGTGATAAAATTAATTTAATTTACAAGCAAAACAAGGAAACTTCCTTTTATCCCCTAAAATTGAACAACACCCAATTGGTTCCAGACCAAGTGTTACATTATGCGTGATGGCTGGTATATTAAATAAATAATACCTGTTAGAGCTATAGTTTCTAGAAAGCTTTCCTTTTAAGTCTTGCTTTCTTTAAAGAAAAGACCTTCACAACAAATACAGCCTAAGCAATTTCTGTTCTAAACCAAACAAAGTGGCACCAAAGGCTATTGGATCACTCAAATTTCCAAACTTGCCATTGATTACCCCAATAAAAATTAATACTAAGAAGCATTTGCAATCACTAATAATTGAATAAAACTTAACTGACTGTCTATCAAATTTCATGTCGAATATGCTATTATTTTGTCATTTCAGTAGGCTTAACTTCATCACCCTCTCAAGTTCCTCTTCACTCCAGTCTCTGGTGGACTGCAAAGGCACTTCTCTCAAACATGGGCTGATTCACAAGCCTGTCACACCTAAATTTTGGTAAGCTCAATTCTCAAATGGAAAAAAAATATGCAGTACACTCCAAACTCCAAAAACTTCAAATTAAGATTTTTCTAAAAACTACGACAAGGGCTAAAACTTTGCATAGCATTTCTACAGGTATCTTCATTTCCTAATAAAAACTGCAAAGACAAGGTATTATAGCTTTTTAACCATTACATTCCCATGAGAGATTGTGCTTTTCTGAGCTCTCAGGTGTAGAAAAAAGTTTTCTAGAAAAATCTTACAAGAAAAGAAAATGCATCATACAACTTATAAACATGAATGCCACATGGCAAAAATTGGCTATTTCCAGCTACAGCACCCCACAGGCAATGGAGACAGCCAAGCCCAAATTCTGAAAGTATAATCTGGTAAGATGAGTCATATTGCCATTGAGATTTTCATGCACAAAGGAAGTTGCCCATGCTCTCATCTTTGTTTAATCTGTTTCACAACTGACAAAAAGATCAAACAGCTACAGACTCCATAGGAAGCATAAAATGCATACTAACTTGACAGAATTTAAAAATTACACAGCCTCAAGAAATCTTTCAAGTACAGAATATTTTGAAATGACACATCATATCAATACCCCAACCACTTTCCAACATAGTCAGTCGCAGATCCCAGTCGACTGGAATTGCCACTGTCTGTTTGATCAGTTGGAATCATGCCTTCAGCTTCTGATGGGTCCAACATCTCATAATCCGACACATCTGAAGATATACTCTCTTTCATGGTGCTCTCAAGTGTTTCTGATATCTGTTGGTTAACTTGTTCTTTAGAATCCTTTGCCTCTTCCATTTGTTTTGAATGTGTTGGCTCACTGTCCACCTGTGATTTCCCAGCTGGTTGAACAGCTTCAGTGTCAGATTCTGAGTCTCTTTCAATGTCTGGAAATTCTAGTCCCCTCATTAACTGACCTTCCTCCAACTCTAAAGTATCCCCAAACTGACTTATTGATGAAAATTGTAGATTATCAACAAACACAGTAGAGCTGTTTAAGCTTTGGCTTCCAACTTCAGATTCTGGAGTATCTTGTGCAGAAATTTCTTGGGAAAAAAGCATAAAAGAAAAATCATTCCAAAAAAAGTGTAGAAGAATGATAGCATTTTTAATTAATGGAAGTGACCATATAAAATATAAATTTTGAAGTATATATGCTACAAATTTACTAGAATTTTATTATTTTGCTGGATTTACCTAGACATGTATACCTAACAAATAAATGCATTTTAAAAGGAACACCTACCTACATGCGTACCACATTGATTGGCAGGACTCTCAAACAGCCAATTTTTTGAAGTTAACTAAATTTAAATCTACCCATTTCTCATCACCAAAAGCTCTTTGCCATACCCAAATAATAACCCTTGGAAGACTTGATTAAATTTTAAGAGCCATCTTGGATCCAATCTGTGTACACTACCTTGTGTTTCCAGGCTGTCTTTTCTGCTTGTAATAGAACTCAGGCCTTGAGTTACAACTGATGTAATAAATCCTTCCAGGAGTTTAACCTCCACAGGTGGTGCTGAGGAAGAAGGTTCTGATTCCCTGAAATCTTCATCTTGTGAAGGGACAAATTTATCTTCATTGACCACTGTATCATCAGCAACAGGACTGAAATCCTTCGCAAACTCATCATCACTGTCAGCTGGCATTTCTCCTTTAGTTCCTTGGAAGAATTATTACAATAACTAAATCAGTTTTAACCCTTTAACTCCCATGAGTGACCAAGACAGAATATCTCCTTACAATTTATATCAAGAAGACATGTTATGAGAACAAAGAAAAATATTATTTAGGGGATTATTCACTGATCCAGTAACAAATTCTCTGAACTAACTTTTAAAGAATGGTATAACAGATAGTGAGGAAAATTATTAATGAGGTCTTGGGAGTGAAATGATCAAAAAAACTAAAAAATGCACCATTATGACAATGAAAACAGAGTATGCACAAGCTTTTTTGGTTCTGAGCATCTTTGATCTTATTTTTTTCGTTTGTCCTTTCAAATTGTATGGTTTTCTGGTTTAGCATATGTTGCAGCCTTAGGTGAATCCCTCTTTTGAAAACGTGAATTTTCCAAACAACTTGGACAACTTTCAATCAGCATCAATTGGTTTCCAAACATTATTCTTGGTGGTTATCTACTTTTGAGTTAGTTAGTTCCAAGTTTTCAGTTTTCATGGAGATGAAAGAAGGTTCTGTGGTTTTTGATGTACCACAATACCCCGAAATGATGAACAAGTTGGTGCATTAAGAATGTGAATTTTCATTATTCATTAGTCAGACCTGTTGTTACAGCATCTCTTGTTCGCTTTGTCCTGGTATTTTGCCATTGGACTACAAATGGTCGGTAAAATGGCTCCACTGCCTTTTTGATTATTATGTGTATTCCATTGTACTTAATGATGGGCCAAAAGTACAGTGCACAAGCTAAAATGTAAAAAAAAGGGGAAAAAAATGTTCTAAGTTTTTTTTTTTTTTTTTAATATCATTTAAACTGGTAGAAAACAGTCCCCACAACACACAAATCTCCACTTCCCAAGGAACTTCATATCAGCCACATTGATATCATTTTGAATCCCTAATTACAACAGATATGAAAAGATTTCCACACAACCCCATACCTTATTATGCATACAGTTTTTTGGATGGATTGCCTTCAGGACTTTGGCTTTGTTTCAGAATAGTATAGGGTCATTGAGAAACCTTTCCCTAAGATGTCATATATGCTTCATACATTGAACAACCAAAATATTGTTTTAAAATGTGACTAAAAATTTTTGAGAATGAGCCAGTAGTACCCCCTGAGATGGAATTAAAGTAACAAAGTTAGTTTATCCTCTGTGTTGTCAATAAAAGTAATGATCACCATAGCAACAATTTATTACAACCATAAATTACCAGTTTTTAAGGTTTTATATTTGTCCATTACCTTCATTCCTCATCTATCATAAATTAATATGACAATCTTTCTCATCTACAAAACCTTACCAAGATAAAAATTAAAAAACTTCACCTTGCATATAAAATATTGGTAGCAGGGGCAAGTACTGGTAAGCAAACACCACTACCAATAAAAGTCCAAAAAGAACGGCATAGTACTGAAAAACAAGATAGTCATTACCATAATATTAATAACAATGTCAATTCAAAATGAAAAAGAAATTAATACTGATCTTAAATTAGGGAGAAAAAATAACAGAGAATATCGATATAAAATTGGGAAAATCGATGACATACCTTGTATGTGCTTTCAGCCTTTAATTTGTTCAATTTTTCACGCCAAGCAGCGAAGCAACTCCAAATCGCAGCGAGTCTTTCACAAAGACGAGGGAAAGATAGCGTGATTTGACGACTAAGGGACAAAGTTAGTCGATGTTCATCAGTTCATAGGACATTTGTTTATCTCATTACAGGTGGGACATAAATAGATAATAGATCCAATTTGGGGTAAGCCATTTGGAAGTTCTAAACAGTCCTTCGGGATATCAAAACATTATAAAACAAACTTAAAACTCGAGATTTATAGAACGAAAACGCAAAATTTGAAGCTTCCTTGTTGTTCTTTAAATAACACTTACCTGTCTTCATCAGTAAGAGCATCAAATCTACCTGTGTCATGGAGAAAATCATACAAAATAATTATTGATTGGATCCAAGTTTTATGCAAATGAAGACCATCCAAATTGCAGAGAGATTCAAATTATCAGGACTACCTGTAACGAAGTGTTATGACGTACCTTGTACACATTGCCACACCTTACATCTGATATCTTCCATCAAAAGTGATGACGCCATTAATATTATAAGCAGCAGTACCAGACGGAATTTCCCACTTGCCATTATCCTGTGAAGCGACATGCCACTCGATCAGCACATCACAATAACAAATAATTCTTTTCTCACCCAACAACTTACCCGACAAGAATTGTCATCGCAATGAAATAGCTCAACGAGTGCGATGGTTTTTGCCACAAAAGAACACTCTGAATATACTGCCATCTATTTTCCACAGGCCTCAAGAGTTTTCTAACGCATTCGTAGTACTCTTGATTGTCAGGATTCTCAGATCCCGTCGAATTTTCTGTGGAATCCCCCTTGAGATTTTCGTCCGCCATGTTGTGATATGAACTTCTGCTTGCGGATCTTTCTTGACATACAAACGTGACGTCATCGTAAACATTCTTAACTTGGCCCAGGTCTCCTATGTAGGTCTTCTCTCTCTTAGAGGCAACAAACTGGAACACCAATGAACTGATATGTTTTTTGATAAGCTAATATCTGCTTTTGCTGGGGCATTGATAAGCGAATTAATTAAAAATTGTTCAGGGATATTGCGGACCATCCTCCTTGGCGAGGTAGAAGGGATTGCATAATTACGCAGACGATTGTCAAAGTAACTGTTTTCTCGAGCTCGTTCATTATACTTTTGAAATATGTTCTTTTTTCATCAAAACCATTAAGGAATTACCCGTTCTTAGGAGAAGTAGTCAGTCTCCGCGCACGCTTAAAAACCAGGGGAAATATGATCCTCGTTCAATCAGACGGCGCACATCCTAAAAACCACTTGAGTACGACGGGGAATTCCTTTCTCTATTATCTAAAATCAGTCGGTAGCCGCGACAAATAGCACACACAACGAATGGAAGAGGTCAACTATAGAGGCCTGACAGAGGTCAGGACAGCAACCACTATAGCCACTTCCGCTTACTACTTGTGATGGAATTTCCGGTTATGCAACGGCATTGTGGGTAGTTTCCTCAAGGGAAATAAGTGAAGACCTTGAGATTGTCTGAGAGGTGAGTATTTTTAATCCCTTGACTTTTTTATGTTTACAATTTTGACCAATATAGACAGTAGCTTGAAAATATGAGACTCTGTGGTTTTTCCGAAGTACACTGTTTTTTTCCGGTTCTATTCCTGGAAGGAATGTGTTGTTGCCGTTCTTTCACTGAGATCCTAAATATATGACTAAAATAATCGCAATTTGCGAGATAGAATGAGCTCAAAATTTGCCTCTCGAAAGAAAAATAATCGACAATCTCGCCTGTTGCAGGCCTTGAGAGATTTTACAGCAGCAGATACATGTTACAGCGATGGTGCAAATCCTCTGTCTTTTCGAATAGGTGAAATATTCACATTTCTGAGTCGCCGCGACAACTATTGGGTCAATGTTGAGAGGACGGTTTGGAGACACAATCCGCTGCTCAAGACGAAGGAATACCTGACTGTTGAGCGTGGTATTGTGCCGGTGGACTATATAATTGAGATGGACGTTCAAGAGAACGAAGGAATGTCTTCACGCAAAGAAGAAAATTGTCCGGTTTCCAGCGGTGATCATGATGAAGCAAGTCATGACAACATTTTCGAGGTAAACTCACCTTTTTGCATTCTAAAGTTCTTGCGATCGACTTTTGAAGACACGCATCTTTCGCATGTCTCTTTCTCGATAATGTTATTGCTTAACTGGTGCATGAAGGACAGAAGCTAAGTTGACCATCAAAATAATTTCAATTATTTCAATACGGATTCCCCAAATGGGTCAGTTTCCAAATCGGATGTGCAAAACATTCGATCTCGTGTGAAGAATTTGTATCTGTGTCGTTCATGAATAATTCTTTGACGTAACGGTCAACTTAGAAACGATTTTTATTTCTCATGATAGATCATGCCGATAGATAATATAACTTCAATACAGATAAGATAACTTTACACTAAAAATTCCCAATCTAGTTGAAGTTTGATGTCTCCATGAAATGTTTGTCATGAATTAATTGAAAAAGGTGATCGTAAATTCATAGGATATGAATTAGTAATAAATCCATTGTTGGTGTGGCTTTAATGTTTTGCTTGAATCCTTTATTCACACGAAAAACGCGTGAACTTAAGATAATATGAGACGTAAATATCACCGAGCCTCCCTTAGACTTATGCATGTAAGAAATTAAGACAGTTGTTTTATTATAAAATCCTACAAGTATTTGTGTAAAGTATGGTGATCTGACTGAGTGTCTTGAAGAAGGTGTTTGGCTTGACTTGAGGTGCATGAGAGGTTCCAAGAGTTAAATATTTTTCAGTGTCCCTTGACCTAGATCATTTTTAGTTTAAAAACTTTAAATCAATGAGGGGTGTCAACAGGAACTTCCTATTAGTGAAATTTGTAGTCTTGATAGAGTTGAGATCAAGCTTCCTGTAGCCACCTATTTTGCTGTTTACTTCAAAAATCATTGATTTCCCCGGTCATTATATTTTCAATAGAATGGAATGAATTTTTAGCTTTGTACCCAGAACCAGAATTTTTTGTGCCAAATATTCTTTGAGTTTCTTTGTCTCTCCTTTTCCTGCAAGGGATTCCTGATCTCTTAGATTAAAGCTGTCTCCTTTAAAACAGCATTAAAATCTACATCTAGATTCAAGTTCTACCCTATCCGTTGATGGTTTGTTTTAAAAATCCTGTTCCAATTTCTATCTGTTATAAGTTCTGATCTCTTATTACTATATTTGAAATGTAATTCTCCAGCTCAGAACTGAGAGAGATGGTTTGGCAGAAGAAGTTGAACAACTAAAAAGAAAACTTGATGAGGCTTACAAAGAAAATGCCACCCTTCATGAAAGGTGAGTATCAGAAGGACTCTCCACATGCCTTTTAAGAGTGTTTAATACTATTTAACCCTTTAACTCCCAAGATCTCAACAGCAATTCTCCTTACCATCTGCCAAACAATTCTCATTGTGTTAGTGTGGAGAATTTGGTATTGGATCAGTTAGTAATACCATAATTGATATTTTTTTAATTCTCATCATATGTCTACATGATATTGTATAGATATAGAAATGAGAAAATCTGTCTTGGTCACTCACAGGAGTTAAAGGGTTAATCTATTTTAAGGTTTTTCCAGAATATGTGATATTTATTTTACTGAAAACTATTTTTCATGAGATTCAGTATGACTGCTGCTAAAACTGTATCAAGATGCAAAGAGAACTTTGTAGGAGAGAGGTAGAGAGTAAAAGGTCTGTGGCTTGTATCAAGCTAAATCAATGGGGTGGGGGGGGGGGTGGGTGAAACAGGAATCTTCCTACTTTAGATAGGTACTGAATTTCATTACTGGATCGTAAATTGTTTTATTAATGAAATTAATATATTACTAATTTTCAAGCCAATTGAGAACTTGAGATTTATCATATCTTCAGATAATGAACTTAATCACTAATGAAATTATATCTAAATCTGACCTACGCTTAGTTTGCTAAATGGATAATGATAATTGTTCTTATTGACTAACAGATAAATAAAGGAATGATTGAGAAAAATCTTGATTTTTTGTAACCTTTTAAGTGCCTTTTATATCTGAGTGTTGACAATACTAGACAATGCTTTTAAAAGTTTAATGACTTGTGTAACTAAAAGCTGTACAATTGTAATTGATGGAATATCAGAAGAAGTTTTCAGTACAAGGACAAATTAGTAGATTTCTAACCCTCCATTCCTGGCCAGTCTTGTTACAACAATAGAAAATAAAAGTTTGTGCTTGCACTAATTCTAACTTAATGCAATGAACTGGAATCAGTTGATTGTGTTGTCTGATCATCTTAAGGAAGGCAGTCCTGGGAAGGACTGTTGTCAGCAGTAATGGCTGATGTTTCGATAATCTAAGCAGTAGTCATCATGCAGGTTTCCCAAATGACAGTCAGTGACATTAGCAACAGTCCAGGGGTCTATGGTCAGTTTTATGTGTCTCATTCAGACTCTACCTGTGCACCTAATTTCAAACAAGAGCCAATAATTAACCCTTCAATCCCCAAGAGTGACTCACATCTAATTTCTTCTTGCAACATCACCCCTAAATCAAACACTAAGTTTGTGAGAATAAAGGAGATGATCACCAACTAAAGAAGCTCTTGATTGTTTAACAAATTCTCCTTGTCAGAACCCTAAGAAATGTAGGGAGTAGTTTGGAGAATATCCATACTGATGTCAGGGAGCCAAGGGTTAAATTAATGATATGTTATGATATAGAAAATGAAACTACACCATCAAACACTGGTTTTCAAACAATTTAGTAATTGAGAATTAAGTCAATAGATTATTTGCCTTTAGATTTTCTGATTGAATGAGAGACAGAACTGTTTAGCTTATAGGTGATTTTTTTGGGTACCCTCTTTTGATAAATACAATTAGATGCCCTAACATTGCTATTGATTTTGAAGGTCTGCTCAAGAGTACAAGCACAATTTACAGCTTGTTCATCAGCTGTTACAACAGTAAGAAATCTCTGAAAACCACTTAAAATTGGAGCTACAGAACAGTTACGCATACGTTTTAGGCCATTTGTGGTTAACAATGTGTCTTTCATTTAACCTTGGCTTGTGGTCCTGAGTTATGCTAACTTAGGACTTTTTTTTTCTTATGTTGAGACCAAAAGCTAATAACAATAGCTCACCTTTGCTGATAGTGTGAATTTTATGTACTTAAATGTATTGAAATGTAATGAGGGATTAATAAATAATTAGAATAATTATAAATGTGTTCACTCTAACAGCATTGAAAGGGTGACTGTTTACAGAAAGAGGGTCAATAATTTCTTTTGCATTAATGACATTTGTTTAGTTCTGTTTTTCATGTATCAATAGTTAAGATTTGGGTGTTATTACATGTTTATTCTGATATTTCTGTCTATTTGGTTATCATTAATAGCTTTTTCTATTTGTTTTGTTTTCATCAATTAAAAAAGAACCACAATCACTAAATGTACAACTGTTACAGTTTTTTATCTGTAAGGTGGTATACCTGATGGAATAATAACTTCTTTTTAACCAAGTATAAGGGCTGTACTGGGAAGTATTGGTGTGAGGTCATGGCAGTTTGAACCAAGCTCAATATGGTCTGTACAAAGATAACCAAGGGCCAATATTTCCCAGTATGGCTTAAGCAAGTAGTTTATTATATGAGACTTGGACCAAAAACTAAGTAGTTTATTATATGAGACTTGGACCAAACTTGTTTATTCTGAATTTGCTGCTTTTGTGAATTGAAGTACATGGCTAATGAATGTTTCTTTGGAAACAGTCTGCATGGCAAAATTCTGACCAAGTAAGACCAACTAGAATGCTTGGATTTACCTGAGGACTACCTTGCCATTTAATAAATTGCATATAGTTCATATTTCTTGTCCAGCCCTAAGGCATGATCAATACACAAGCAGCTATTAATAGCTGTGCAGCAACATGTAGCACTCTTAAACATACTCAGTCTGCTAATCACATACCACCCTCTTTTTGTAAACAAGTTCCCTAACTTGTAACTTTGATCAAAGGGATTCTCAATAGTCACTAAGTCACTAACTATACTGATGCATTTAATTTCTTCCATTCAGTGTTTGATGTATTTGTTATTTGATAAAAATATTGCTTGTAAGAGTTGACACTCATTGATTTTCAAATGAAACATAAACTAAAGCTACTCAAAAGAAGGACAGTCCATATATTAGAGATTTAATTTTACCTTTTACCTTGTTGATTTTTTAGAAAATCCTTTTGTTCATCAAATAAGGAAGTGAGCAGTAACCATAGCTGGAACTTGAATGACAAAAATGATTTTGTGCAATTTTTTTATTTTGTTTGATCTTTGCTTTAGTTTCTGTTCACCATGAGATTTTGTTTGAGCTAGAAAACTTGAAGTTATCTGTGATTTCCCTTTTGATAATGATTCACTTTTTTTTTCAGGTATTATGCAGTTGGAGAAACAATGGTTTCAACCAAGGAGGAACTAGCAATTGCACAGGAATCTTTAATTGAGGTAGTTGGAGCATTTTTCTTTTGAGTGTCAGAAGCAAAGCAGGATGGCATGGGTGTTGGTTTCCTTCACTCTGTGATCAGTCAGGAAACTTTGCACCACCTTCTAACAAGCAGATGCAAATAAAAAACAGATCAAGACTTGGTCACTTCCTTTTTCCTGTACTTCAGGCGGCTCATTTGTTTTTAGTTTGAGTTCTCATAGGCTCCTGGTGATATTTTCCTTGGTCCTAATAGGCACTTGAGATTATTATAAACGGCTCTGTCAAAAACTATTTAACCTTTCAATTTCAAAGGATGCAATAAATAATTTTAAAAAATTAAGAAAAACAGCAGCCATGACTGACAATAGATAGCCCCGTACTTTCCAAGAGTGATCTTTATGAAAATCTCGTAATACTATATATTTAAATAGAGGATATGACACCAAATCTTATATTAAAGGCTAGCCATAGAAATGTAAGGTATTTGTTAGAAGAATTAGTTTGCAGATTATGGGAGTGAAAGAGTTCATTCTCTATGTCCCTTTGCCACATCCTGTCAGCCAGTGTAATTACTTATTGTAAGTAGCTTCTCATATTTTGCACTTTCTATCCATTTCAGGAACAGCAGAGAAGCCGTCAATACCAAAAGCAAGTAGAAGACATTAAGAGTCAGATAAACAAGTCTGGCAATAAATCAGCGGTATAGTTTGAACACACATTGACATTTCATTTGTGTAGGGTGATTGTCCTCTTGACTGTGGTTTTTAGGAGGGATGTCTGTAAAGGTCATGAATGACATTTTTAAAATCCAAACCACAGTCCTTCTCATTATCCTGGTGACGACTTCCATTTTTACTGAACATTTGAACTCCTAGAGCTGATTAACATGTAACCTCTCCTGATAATGTCTATACATTATCCAGCAAACAGGTAGTGAGAATAGTTAAAGTTATCATGTAGAAGTTGTCATCTTTATCTATGACCAAATTCTTTTAACTGATTTACAAGGAAATGTGTGGCAGCTAGAGGGGAGAAGGAACAGTCAGGAGTGGTTCAGTTGTACTTGGCTGTCCACACAATGCTACTATATCCCTTGGGTTTCATGTATTACCACTGACAGTCCTTCTATATCTCATTTTGATCTTTTTTACATTCCTTCTGGCTGTTGAGCTGCTAAGCTGGACTGAAATTACATTATGGATACTGATAATTAATTATTTCATGATGATAATGTTGCAGATAAAACTTCTGGAGAAGATTATTCAAAAGGAGACAAAATCACAGGCAAATGGATTAATACAAAAGGTTTCTATTTTGTTTTGATAACTCATGAATACCTACGAAATTTGACCTTACTCTGATGAAGGGCTAAACTCTTATTGGTGGCCAATTTACATTAAATATTTAGTTGATAGATCTAAATCATCAGATTTAAAGTAGTTTGAATGCAGTAGATACAGTTTACCTTGACTAATGATTAAGCTGAAATATCCAGTTTTTCTTGTACTGATGGCTGTTAGAGATCTGTTCTTTATATTCAGTATTTAACCCTTTCAGACAAACATTTTTCATGGTGCAACTGTTTGATTCTCAGCAAATTGCTTATAACTCTCAGTTTTCTTTTTAGGATGCTTGTCATTCACTGAGCTTCTATCATAGTTACCAGGAATGGTCATAACTGTTATTTCAGTCTACTGACTGAAAAAAATTTGTTGTTTGCTCTTATTACAGACCAGATCTGAAAGTTCATCAGATGACTTAATGCTTTCTTGTGCTCTCTGCCATGAAAAAATGAGGTACTGCAATATGTTCTATGAGCACTTTCTAAGAGGGCATGAACAATAAGAATTAAGGATGCTCATTATCTTTGTCCTGGACCTTTGAACTAGAGTGTTATCTATTGCTTAGGATGTATATTATAATTAAGGGATTGTAGAATTCTATGGCTACGGCACAAAATTCCATGACCAGATTTTTTTGGCTGAAGTTATTTTTCTTCTAGTTGTGGGAAGTATTCTGTGGTTTCCTCTTCACCTCTATTACTGGAATTGCAGCTTGCTGAGTAGTTGAGATTTTTTTTATCTGACCTTGCAGGGTGGGTGACCTGGCTTCTCATTCTAAGGTTTGCTCATCAAAAGATACAGACAAACGACCTACAACGTAAGTGTAGAGGGTCATATCTATCAAAAATTAGATTAATTAGCAAGAAAATGAATGTAGTGTATCTACTTATCAGTAGTCATCATTGGAAAGTATCATCAGAAGTAACCTGATAGAGGCTGTCAAGGTTTTATGCAAAAATGGCTGAGCTATACATGTTATTCAGGAGCTTCATGTTAAGATCATTTTCTGTGAGTGGTTTTCATGAGTTTATGATCAATTATGATCTATTATCAATGATTTGATTGGTCCATTTTAGTCCAACAACACCAGGAACAGACATGCTTCGAGTTACAGTGACCTGTTCAGAGACTGATGAGAAAAATACCACCTTTAAAGTGGTAACAAAGGTAAGGAATCTGGATTTATTTCATTGATAGTTGTAGAGGATTACTGACTGACTGCTGCAAGAAGCACAGGTTATTTCTTTGACTCTGTCAACAATGTTGATCAGCAGTATGCAGGAACAAGTGACAAAAAAATATTAAATGATAATTATGTCATTTTAAAAATTTCTC